AACCATTTCAGCTTTTTGTCTTTGCACGTAGGCCAGAGTGAACTTTCTATCACCCCATGCGCCAGGCCAAGACAGATGTGCTATTGGAATGTGTTCATTAGGCTGGTTCAGAGAGGAGAGGTACTCCCTCGTACCTGTCCGCCATCTTGTTGATAAGGCTTTGTTTTTCCTAGTTTAATTGATTATTTCTGTAATTGGATGCCCTGACGTCAGACTGTTTGGTTAAGGGTATAAAAATACTAGGATTGATTGTATTAAGCAGCCTTACTGGGCCCGGCTTTGCTGGGACCACGTTTGGCTCACTTTGCTTTTATTGGCCAATAAAACTGTCTGTTTAGCTGCGAAAACTGAGTGAGGTGTTTGCTTCGACACCTCTAAAGCCCTTTTTAAAAATTGGCATCACGTTAGCTATCTTCCAGTCATTAGGTACAGAAGTTGATTTAAAGGATGGGTTACAAACCACAGTTGTTAGTTCCACAATTTCACATTTGAGTTCTTTCAGAACTCGGGTGAATCCATCTGGTCCTGGTGGCTTGTTACTGTTAAGTTTATCAATTTGTTCCAAACCTTCCTCTAATGACACCTCAATCTGGGATAATTCCTCAGATTTGTCACCTAGAAAGAATGGCTCAGGGTATTTTTACACAGCTAAATTATTTCGAAATAACGTTACTAGCATCTACACAGCCAAACTGCTATTTCAAAATTAATTCAAAATAGCAGAGCGCTTATTTTGAATTTGGTAAACCTCATTCCACGAGGAATAATGCAAAATTCGAAATAGCTATTTCAAAATAAGTGCTGTGTAGACACTTATATCAAAATAGGGGGCCTCAGGGATAACTGACCACTTCTCTTGTTTCTCCACAGCCGCACAAGCTGTGCATGCAGGGCACACACCACACCACCCAGGACATGCTCCCGCGCTCGAGGGCTCCTCAGGACCACCCATGCAGTGGAAGAGTACCAACAGTAGCACCTGGGGGCACTGCGAGCCCTGCAGCGCACCCTCCAGAACTGGGTGCAAAAAGACCTGCAGCTCTGGTGGGAGCAGCTTGCCCAGGGCCATGCCATCTGCCAACACCTGAAGACTCTGCTGCAGAGCATGCTGCCTCCTGCCGCTCCCGCACCTGCTGCCTCCCCAGCTAGCACTCCTCCTCTCACTCCTTCTCCCCCTCCGGCTTCTCCATCCCCACCCTCCATCCCCTCCCCATCCCCCTGTGGATGCCGAGGCCCCCACACCCGCAGTACTGGGAGACAGTTGGCCCGGCGAGACCCCCAACCCTGAGCCCTGAGCGTCCCCTCCCTCTTCTACCCTTGCTTCCACCTTCCAGTTCCATCCTCCCAGGTTTCCCCCTCCCCTCTCCCACCCTCTCTTCTCCTCTCTCCTGCTTCCTTTCCCCAGTCTCACCAGAGTTTCATTCCCTCCCCCCCCCAGTTTTGTTAAATAAAGAGAGTTTGTGTTCATGAAAATAGGTTAGGGAGGTGTAAGTGGAAGGACGTGAGGAGGAATGAGGCACAAGCCCCCAGTGGGGCAGACCAGGGAGGCTCTTAGTGCTCCTCAGGCTGGAAACTCTCCCGCAGGGCCTCCCTGATACCAATAGCCTCCCAGATGGACCTCCTGGATGGCTGCCTCCAGAAAGTGCAGCCAGGCTCACAGCAATGCATCCACAAGAAGCACCAGAGTGCCCAGGGGCAACTCTGGATCCATGTTGCAGAGTGCTGTAGTCTCCTGAGTGAGAGCAACCAGAGCACACAGAGACAAAATGCTTTGCTGTCCCTCATTGAGGTAGACAAGCAAGCAGGGAAACCTGAGATGGCTGTCTGCGGTGCGGGGGGGCAGTCCCTTTAAGCACAGGCCTCAGATAGCCTCAGGCAGCAGCCACACAAAGTAACTCCTGACCTGATGCCCTGCTGGACCTGGTTCCGGCCAGCCTTAAATGCGATTCAGCGTCCACTCGGTGTGGACGCGCTATTTTGAAATAGTAAAACGCTAATTCAAACTGCATTTTGTGTGTAGACGCATTATTTCGAAATAACGCTGTAGTGTAGACAGACCCTCAGGTCTGGGACTCTCCCTCACAAGCTCAGCTGTGAAGAATTCATTTAGTTTCTCCACAATGACTATCATCCGAGCGCTCCTTTGGCATTTCAGTCACGGGTTGTTTAGTAGGCTCCCTGCTTCTCATGTACTTAAAAAAAATTGCTATTACTTTTTGAATTTCTGTTCTTCAAATTCCTTTCTGGCCTGCCTAAGCCTAGCAAGGTGCTAGTATGTGTATGATTGATGTGACAAGGTGATCCTGATACAGGACAGAGTGAAGGTTGCATTGTGGAGTGATGGGAACCCAGCTGCTTCTTTTTTTTTTTTTTGCCATTACAATAAGATCAGGAACAGGACTCCTTACCCAGAGGGGTCAAATTCTCATAGCTCTCCTGCATGACAGCTCTGCAGAGGGCTCTGCAGAGCCCACGCTGCCCAAGTGAAATACAGTCACCTCCTCGAAGGTCACCAGCCCCTGAAAGAGCAAGAGCCCAACACTCAGCACCGGCTGCCTGCTGACGAGCTCACGAGACGATGGGGAAGTGGGACTGGTCACATAGAAGCTCTAGGAGGCTCAGTCAGCAAAGCCCCCTCTGCTCCCTGCCCAGAGCAGCCAAGAGGCATCAAGGCGAGAGGAGAGCCCTTTGGGTGCCCTAGAAAACGCAGGAGCTGGCATCTTCACATTCGTCCCCCGCCCACTAGCCAGAGGCTGACACAGGAGCTGGAGCCCCCAGCAGGGCCCAGGGACAACTCATTGGTGCAAGTCACAGCCCCAGTTGCCAGTGCCAGGGAGCGATGGGAGGGGACTGGGCAGCTCACACGAACCTCCTTGGGCTGCCTCCTTCACCTGTAACTGCCGCCTCTCGTTCAGCACAAAGAGCTTTAATCCCGCTCACCTCCTCAGCAGAGCCGCGCACTCACCTTCCTGACGCTGGTGCTGGTGGGCTTGGTGGGAGAGCGAGGGGCAGGGCCCCGTGGGGGCTGCCCAGCTGCTCCTGGGGCAGGGCCGCAAGGCAGGGTGCCTTGACTGGAGCTGATCCCGGCTCCAGCCCTGGCAAGGGGGCAGCCGCCCCCCATGCAGCCCAGTTCTGGGAGTAGCTGGGCAGCCCCCACACAGACCTGGTCCCAGCTCCAGCCCTTCCCCAGCCACATGGTGGCTGCCTGGTTGCTCCTGGGGAGCAGTGTGGGGCAGCCCCTGCCCTGCACACAGGCTGCACTGGGAGCAGTGCTTCCGGGGGGAGGGGCAGGTCTCACCTTCTCCCCATGGGGTGGGGGAGGTGCTGCCTGGGAGCAGGGCTTGGGGTCTGTGCTGGGCCATGACCTTATCTAACGTTTCTTCAGCGCTGAGCCACGGTGAGGAATTTCTCCAGTTGGAACAAGCTCCCTAAGGCAGCCTGAGCTTCTGCCACCTAAGTTCCCTCCTGCCAAGGGCTCAGGGAGAGGTGCGCGCCTCCAGCCCCAGCAAAGAGCTGCCATGGCCAGGAAAGAGGCACCGTCTCAAAGTTCTCCCTCTGCTGCCCCAACAGCATGGACCTGCTGTAGCCGGCAGAGTCCAACCCAGAGCTACTGTGGCTGGAAGAGAGGGGCCTTGCACCTGGACCGGAGCTGCTGAGGCAAGAGAGAACTGGAAGGAGCCCCCCTTTTCTGAGAGCCTGTAACCAAAACACCCAATCCCTATCCCAGATCCCAAACCCCCAGCCACCGCCTTCACCTCTGCACTCCAACCCTGACCCCGCATCTCCAGCCCAGAGCCTGCACCCCCCGCACCTTATCCCTTGTCCCCCAAGCCCTGAGACCCTTCCCACACTTCAAACTCCTAGCCCTCCTGCCCCCCGCCACAGATCATCCATGTGTGGAATGAATTTTGCAATGTGCACCAGCACATCATAATGGTGCATATAACAAAATTCATTCTGCACACGGGCATAACAAATTAGAAGGGACACTTTCTGCCAGTTCCATCATCAACTCTGGAGCCAGAGACCTCAAGGACAGTGCTGAGGATAGGCAGCTTAGTGTTTCAGCACAAACAACCCTCACTTCTTCTCTCTTTAGTAGTCCTAGAAGCTGAGCCAGCCATGGGGAAGAAAATAACCCAGGAATGGGAACTGTCCAAAGTGGAGTGGCAGGAGGAGGGGAAAGGTGATGGAAAGAGGAGACACACACTGAAAGGGGTGGGGGAAAAAGTAAGTGGGGAGAAAGTTCCCAGAACTCTGACCTGCCCAGACATGCGTATTGCAGCATCATGGGACCGGGGGTGGGGAGAGGGGGCACAGAGGAAAGGCAGGTCTCGATTCTCCCTATTCCCCTTGCTGGGGTGTGCGCTGCCCGGGGGATCAATTTGGGAATCCCCCAAAATGGCTCCTTTGGGTCTGTGCTACCATTCGATTCAGAAAGTTTGTTGCCGAGAGGATTGAAAAATGTTCTGGTGGGAGGAGCCAGGTCGGCAGCGTTGTAATAAAGTGACCCAACATGTTCCCAGCAAGGCATTGAGTTGAGCGTTCCCTCCAGAGAAACGGCCTGAGGAAATCTTGGTGTGAAATTGCCCCATTACCCTTCTTGATACCAAAAGGCTACAGCCTGACACAAGCCGCCCAGGAGACAACACATGAAATGCCAGTTGGCACAACGGGAGGAGCAGTAAATCTGTAGAGGGTTGGCGCATCTGAGGAATGTGGTCTGGAGATGGGAGGGGGAAGGGAATACCCATGGACGAGAAAGTGACAAACCTGCTGGCACTTGTTTAACCTGGGCCCTGGCCAGGGTTCCCTGTGAGATTTTCCATCTGTGAGCAGAGTGAGTTTTGTCTTGTGCACCAATAGTGAGTCCATGTGCACTTCTTTGGATGGGTGCCATGGTGGCACGCACCAGTGACTAATCAATACCTTCGATATATGTATTTTTAAAATGTTATCAAAGAAAGAATACTAAAACAAGAGAGAATTAACAAGCTGCATGACTTTAAATGTTTATTTAATATGAAATCAAATGAAAATTAATACTGCAAAATGTTCAGTAGGCATTTGGTATCTTACATGTATCTGTTCCTTTGCAGGCATAAAACAAAACTGTCCATTTTCTTGACATAGCAAACAAAATCTGTTATCATTAGTACTGACATATGAAATGAAAACGTTATTACAGTTAATGCTTGAAATTAAAGATTATATCTCTGCTTGACAAAAAAAACTTTAGCATCTTTATATATGCAAAAGTGTGTAAGTGGTCGCTTTTGTTGTTGTGACTTGTGAAACATAAAATTAAACATTTTGTTTTGACACAAGAGATTCCTTTGTTTATTTAGGAGACCACTAATCACAGTGATAGGAATGAGACCCACCGCCACTAGCTGACACTGCCAGGCTAGATGATGGGGGAGTTGCTTGCTTCTAGTCATCAGGATGAACCTTTTCTCTTCTGCCTTTACAATTCTTCCAGTGTTCATACACAGAGTCCAGGTTTACTTCTCCACCACTTGATGTGTGAAATTTGATCCTCATTAGCATATCTAGGTGTTCTTCTTTCAATCTGTTTTGTAATTTAGTTTTGATGTTATTCATGAGACTGAAGCCACGCTCACAATCAGCGCTGGAAGCTTGAAACGTTGCACATATATCCACCAGCTGTGAAACAACACTGAATTGCTCTGCATTCTGTAGTGTGAAAGTCACCATTTCCTGGAAGTTTGTCATCATCTTTGCTTCATGTTTCTCTGCAATTATGGATTTGTAGCCATTGTACTGGTTCACAACGAACTCCTTCTCCTCCTCCATGGTCTTTTGGGCAGATGACTTCATTTGACTAAGGTCCAAAACGTTCCTGTATTTGTCAACTAGCTTGCTAACGTTTTCAATGCCAAATTCACACCTGACTGGATGTGATGAAAGTGAGGCAAAGTCAAAAGCTTCCCATTCATTTAGTTCATTCTCTGGAAACCTCTTATTCAGATGATCACACAGTTGGGAGATGAAGCTTAGAATAGGTTCGCTCTTGAATTTCTCATCTGTGGTGCTTGATGCAATTAGACTTTTCACACTGTTGCTCCAAGAGACTGTTTCTCCGAGATACTGCCCTCTCATCTTCCGGATCTGGGCCCTTGCTAACTGTACAGCTCCAAATGTTGTTAAAGAGCCCTTCTGAAAGCATTTGGTCAGTTCTGCTAGCTCGTGTAATACATTATTTAATACAGCTAATGTGATATGGTAATTAGTGTCAGAGAGCTTCTTCAGGCAGTACTTTGCAATTGGGTCATCATTTTCTGAGACTTCTTGTTCAAAATATTTAAGAAGGGGCTCATAATTACGCATCAAAGCACTTACAGCAAAATGTTTAGATAGCCACCTTACTTCATTTAGAGGTTTAAATGATATAGTCTCGTTTTCTGTGACATTGGCCATTTCCTCAAATTGTCCCTTTTGGATTGAGGACCTGCAAAAGACTGTATAAATGGTCTTCAAAAGGGTCTCTATTGTCTTCATCCTTGGCACTTGGTTCCACGCATCAACTAAACCCAGGTCTTCTCGGTGGGCCACGCAGTGTAGTTCTGTTAAATGTGGGACACACTGCTTGAGTTGTGCGGCAACACCATTGTTTTTCCCTAGCATGACTGAAGCACCATCTGAAGTGAACATCACCATTTTCATCATATCCAGCGTATTCAGCGTGTAGAAGTCTTTGATAGCAGCTGTAATAGCTTGTGCATCACAGGCAGATAATTTAATAATTCCACCAAACACTGTCTTATGTGTTGTACATGCTGCATCTCTGAACTTAAAGTAAATTATAAGCAACTTGGTAACGGAAATACCTGTGCTTTCATCAATAATAAGTGTGTGATAGGAAGCTAGGCGAATAGCTGACATGATTTCTGCATGGACAACACTGTTGATTGACTCTAAAAACTCAAAAGCATAGTTCTTGCTACACAAGCTCACCGGTATATGCCGATATTTTACCATGTGGTCATTTATATTTTGCACAGAGTTTATGGAGCTGTTCATTTGTACTGCAAGCAGAACATTATCTATGAGAATTTTTATTTCTTCGAGCTCAGAATGTTGTCTTTCCTGCAATTCCAGTCTCCTCTGTTTCTCATTCGTGGTTTCTAATAGCATACTTTGCAAGTCACATCCCAGTGGATCAGAATTTCTGCTTCTAAGAATATGTACAGCAGATTCATGACTTTTGCTTGATAAATGCCTCTTCATGTAGTCCAATGGCCATTCCCCTTGCTTGCCTGTAGAGAAGTCGCTGGATATTCTAGCTTCGGTACACATTTTGCAGATCAAGCCCACATCAGCACTGTACTGAAATATGTCCCCCATTGGTACACACATCTTGCCTTCAGATTGTTGCGATTCTGTTTCCACTATTTCATTCAGCCATTCTTCTTTGAACGTGGGGCAGCATTTCTTCTTGGGATTTGCTGCTGTGTTGACAGATGCTGTTTGCCCTCGCTTATACATGACTGTTAAAAGGAGCAGAAGGAGGTCATGTAATATTATGTCTCGGGCTTTTAAGAAACATCATGGAGTCCACGAGGTATACAGCTTTTATTAAAAAAGTGTCGGCCTGGTAGAACCATGAGTGCTTCTGTGATAATTAATTCTGTTGCAGGAAATAATTAGGAGTACATCATACAAAAAGACCAGCCTTAAAACAAGGAAATAGATAGCTGATGCGTGGTACAGTCTTGCCACCAGGGGCAAATAAAGTACAAAACACTCAGGAAGATTTCACAAATAAATGTTGCCAGTTTGTACCAAGCAAAACTGATTCCAAAATGATCTGCCTCAGAGGCCCAGTGACATTCAGAACCACTTAAGAAAAAGATATAATTTATCTAATTTCACTTAATAGTATTTGCCGTGGTAGCTTCTAAAAGAGAATAAACTATCTGGATTTCATCCACTGTAGCCCAGAAAGGCACCATCCAGTGAATCACAGCTAGAATCCAAAACAGTTCCAGTTAGAGATGCAAGTTTCTCCTGTTTCTTTGCCAACTCCCCCAAACCAATAATACAATTCATATACAGATGACAGTAGTTGTAATGTTAACCCAGTTAACCCACGTGGCTCCGCCCTGGGAGCAGCAGGACAGATACCATGTGGTTCTAGCCCCAGCTCCAGCCCTGGGAACAGCAAAGAGCTGCCCAGCTCAGCCCCCACTCTCCCACCAAGCCCACCACCAGCAGCAGCATCTTACCTTCCACCTGTAGGACGGGGAGTGCAGGCCCAGACCAGATTAAGAGCAAATTTAGGATGAACTTCAGCCAATTCTATAACAGAATTTCTGTAGAAAATCCCCTTTTTAAAAACAAACAAACATTACTTCAGGTGCAAATCCCCGGGGGGTGTTTTTATTCAGATGTGTGGCAAATTTAGAGTACACCATATTCCTCAGTTTTAAAAAAAAGATCTGACAGATTCATATGGATGACTTGCTTTGCCTGGTGAATATGAACTGCAATGTGTTCATACTGCTTACACAAGTAGTTAGTGGATCAAATTCTGAACACAGTTGACAGTTTATCACTTGTGCAAACATAAGGCACCAGGGCTATTTAGCACTTGTGCACCACATTTTTCCTTTAATGTTCTATCATAAGGCATACTAACTCATCTGTATCTTCTGGTATGTCCCTAAACTATTTACAGATATACTTGCATATCAAACCCACTTTCTGATACTATACTTTTCCTGAGTTGAGAGTAATCAATTTACCTATGTAAAGTTTTATGGTCAGTTTCTGCTTCCATCCAAGTACCCTTGGCCCAATTGCCTCTGCATACCTAGGAATTGGTTCATAAGAACGGAAGGCTCATGTCACATGTCAAGGGAGCAACAGTGTTTCCTGCTGTTCTTCCAGCTACTATAACGAGAGCTGGGACATGTTGAGGAAAGTCTTCAGCAGCGTGGGCCAGATTCTCAGCAAGCGTAAACCACAGAAATGAGTGGAGGTACACTCCAGGACATGTTGAGGAAAGTCTTCAGCAATGTGGGCCAGATTCTTAGCAAGCGTAAACCACAGAAATGAGTGGAGGTACACTCCTCACTTAAGAACCTGGCCTCATGCCTCCTGCTATTCTATAGCCCATCAGCATCTCGGCAGAGACAGACTAACTGCATCTATTAAAAAAATCCCATAACTTTAGCATCACTCCTTTCTTGCCGGATTTACGGATTGTCAAGCAGCCATTTCATTCATTTCAAGCAGTTACACTGTCCAATGCAAACTGCTCCGAGGGAAAAGGGAGTAAAAATGTGTTTGCCAAATGATAAGACACTTTCAGTAGAAAAACAGCCTGATTTTTCTGAGCACCTCCTCAGATTTCAATGGGACATTAGGTGCTCAGCTCAGGGGAGAAGGGGGAAAGAAACAGGCCCCGATGTTACTAATCTGAAGACCAGCTAATACACTAGGAAGTTACCTTAGCTTATCGGGGGTTGTGGCGTGGCTGCTCCTGCAGCTGGGGCTGCACCACGGCCCCGAGTCCAGCCTCAGCCCACGGTGCCCGGCCCCAGGAGCAGCTGGGTAGCCCCCATGTAGCCCTGGCCCCCCACTTTCCCACCACCACCAGCTCACTTTCCATGCCCAGTAGGAAGGTGAGGGTGAAGGAGCAGGCTAGGGGTGGGGGGCAAGTGTAGGAACGGGGGATGGTGCGGGGTTCCCAATGCTGGGGGAGGGCCTGAGCCTCCGGAGCCAGATTCAGGCAAGCTAGGGACTGGCCCACCCCTGGGAGGCTTTCCACAGGATTATTTAAATCATTAAATCATTTGTTCCTCTTGGTTTCTGAGGACAGGACAAGGAGTAATGGGCTTAAAGTGCAGCAAGGGAGGTTTAGATTGGACATTAGGAAAAAATTCCTAACTGTCAGGGTGGTCAAATATTGGAATAAATTGCCAAGGGAGGTGGTGGAATCTCCCTCTCTGGAGATATTTAAGAACAGGTTAGATAGACATCTGTCAGGGATGGTGTAGACGGAGCTTGGTCCTGCCTTGAGGGCGGGGGGCTGGACTCGATGACCTCTCGAGGTTCCTTCCAGTCCTATGATTCTATGATTAAACTGCCTTGATTTAAATCAGTCCACCCTGACTTCATACCAATGGCCAACAATAGCCAGACAGGCAAAATGAACCATTGTACTTTATGAACAGAGAGAAAAAGAACAAGAATAGCAAGAATTGTCTTTTTTTTCTCAAATCTAGTGATGTAACTATCTTAGAAGTTTTAGAATTGTACACCCACACATGACATGGGACACGCTCGGGGGCTATTTTATACCAATATTTGGGAACTAGGGAGGATAACGAGCTCAAAAATAAATATTTGGCAAGAAGAGAGAAAAACACCAGGATCTGAGTCCAAGTCGATAATTCCGGTGGGGGGGGGGGAGCGTGGATTTGAGGGAATTCAATAGGAGTGTTCCAGAAAGGGACACAAAGTGATGGGTGCCTCCTCATTCCCTGGGGGAGGGGTAGCCCTTTGTGTAACTGCTGTAAAAGACACAGGAAAAGCAAGAGGCAGGAGATGGGGGGTGGCTGGGGCAGTGGGGCTGAGTTTGCGGGTCCCGGGCGCTGGGCGCATCCTGCGGGTCCCGGGCGCTGGGCGCATCCTGCGGGTCCCGGGCGCTGGGCGCATCCTGCGGGTCCCGGGCGCTGGGCGCATCCTGCGGGTCCCGGGCGCTGGGCGCATCCTGCGGGTCCCGGGCGCTGGGCGCATCCTGCGGGTCCCGGGCGCTGGGCGCATCCTGCGGGTCCCGGGCGCTGGGCGCATCCTGCGGGTCCCGGGCGCTGGGCGCATCCTGCGGGTCCCGGGCGCTGGGCGCATCCTGCGGGTCCCGGGCGCTGGGCGCATCCTGCGGGTCCCGGGCGCTGGGCGCATCCTGCGGGTCCCGGGCGCTGGGCGCATCCTGCGGGTCCCGGGCGCTGGGCGCATCCTGCGGGTCCCGGGCGCTGGGCGCATCCTGCGGGTCCCGGGCGCTGGGCGCATCCTGCGGGTCCCGGGCGCTGGGCGCATCCTGCGGGTCCCGGGCGCTGGGCGCATCCTGCGGGTCCCGGGCGCTGGGCGCATCCTGCGGGTCCCGGGCGCTGGGCGCATCCTGCGGGTCCCGGGCGCTGGGCGCATCCTGCGGGTCCCGGGCGCTGGGCGCATCCTGCGGGTCCCGGGCGCTGGGCGCATCCTGCGGGTCCCGGGCGCTGGGCGCATCCTGCGGGTCCCGGGCGCTGGGCGCATCCTGCGGGTCCCGGGCGCTGGGCGCATCCTGCGGGTCCCGGGCGCTGGGCGCATCCTGCGGGTCCCGGGCGCTGGGCGCATCCTGCGGGTCCCGGGCGCTGGGCGCATCCTGCGGGTCCCGGGCGCTGGGCGCATCCTGCGGGTCCCGGGCGCTGGGCGCATCCTGCGGGTCCCGGGCGCTGGGCGCATCCTGCGGGTCCCGGGCGCTGGGCGCATCCTGCGGGTCCCGGGCGCTGGGCGCATCCTGCGGGTCCCGGGCGCTGGGCGCATCCTGCGGGTCCCGGGCGCTGGGCGCATCCTGCGGGTCCCGGGCGCTGGGCGCATCCTGCGGGTCCCGGGCGCTGGGCGCATCCTGCGGGTCCCGGGCGCTGGGCGCATCCTGCGGGTCCCGGGCGCTGGGCGCATCCTGCGGGTCCCGGGCGCTGGGCGCATCCTGCGGGTCCCGGGCGCTGGGCGCATCCTGCGGGTCCCGGGCGCTGGGCGCATCCTGCGGGTCCCGGGCGCTGGGCGCATCCTGCGGGTCCCGGGCGCTGGGCGCATCCTGCGGGTCCCGGGCGCTGGGCGCATCCTGCGGGTCCCGGGCGCTGGGCGCATCCTGCGGGTCCCGGGCGCTGGGCGCATCCTGCGGGCGCTGGGAACCCTGCGGAATAGGGATGTTAAATTTCGATTAATCAGCTGGTCGAGTAGTTGTTGGAATTTCTTCCACCTACTCAATTAGTGGACAAGGGGACACTCGCTACCCCACTGGGCCTCTCCCTTTGGAAGGTCCCGGGGCCACCCGCAGCTCTTGTGTGTTTCAGAGGGAGAGGGGCAGCCGTCGAGACCCCACTGAGCAAGATCTGCTTCAGTCCCGCTTGCACCGTTTCCTTCCTGCGCCTAACCCCCCCCCCCTTACCTGCCCACGGAGATGGTGCTGGGGGAACCGGCTCTTAAGCCAGCTCCCCCCACACTGGCTCCTGCTCCCCCCATCCCACTTGGTGCCTCTGATACAGAGGCAGCAAGGGGTGGGGGGAGCAACTAGTTAAATAGTGATTTAACTAATCGATGAGCTCAGGCTTATTGGGTAGTCAGCTGGTCGCTTACATCTCTACTGCACAGGTAAATGCCCATCGGAGGGGGGATGAGACAAAGAAATGGGCAGAAGGAAAATTGGGGGGGCTCCCCAAAAGGGGTAACCAATCCCAGCTGCCAGGCTGGAAAGCCCATGGGCAAACGCCAGAGGGAGGTGAACAGCGAAGGACTGTACAAAGCCCAGGCTCAGGAAAGGGTCCACACTACTGGGGTCCAGGGGAGCCACAGGCAAGTGAGAAACAAAACAAAAACCAAAAGACCCCAACTGAAAAGCAGAGAAAAGGGAGACAGTCACCGCATGCCTGCAGCCAGGATACCCGGCTTCCTGGGGCAGGGTTAGAGTTGAGAGTTAGCGGGGCCCTGGGCCTGCCCTATGCCCGAGGACTGGAGGAGCCATGCGTTGCCTGCACGCCGGGGCTGCAGGCCATCTGAGGGGGAGTCTGGATTTTTCTAATTTTTCCTTGGCCACCTGCAAATATGTTCCCCAGAAAAACATTATCAAGGACTGTGACGTAGTGGGGGTACCTTGCTGGTTGCTATGCTGGGCGGGGGGCTGCGGGTGACCCCCACTGGCTGCTGTCTGCAACACGGCCCAGCAGGACAGGGGATGAGTCACTAGGCAAGGGTCTCTCAACCTGTCCGACCAGCTACCCCCCAGGGGGAGAAACAAAGGAAGGTGGAATGCGGCCCCTGGCTGGGGGCAGGGCTGGGAGAGAGTTAGTTTTCTGTCTGGTATCATGGAGGAAGCAGCCTAGGCAACAGGCTGGGATTTAGGGGCCCAGGCTCCCCCATCTCAAGGGGGGCTGAAGCATCCTAGGCCTGCCCTGGAACCAGATTACCTCTGTGCTGTGCTGTATCCTGGAGAAGCAATAAACACCCTATATTCTACTGGCTGGTGGAGTCTGTCCGTGCCATTACTGGGGTGCAGGAGACAGGAAAACCCCGACGCGCCGTCACAGGGACATTTAAAATGAGAAAACCAAATCAGACGCAAAGTGATACCCACCTTGTGAACATAAGACTTCCCCTGCCGCTGCTCTGCTGCTCTAATTCCTTTTGTGAGATTTCCAACTGCCCCGCACTGCTGCTTTTCCAGGGGACCAATTCTTGACACCAGTGAGCAGTTTTCTTAGCCCGTTCCGTGTGTCACTGGTTTCTCTAGCAAAAGCCAGTCCATGGCCATGTGGTCCAGGCATCCCCCTTCAGATCAAACGAGCACCTCAGAGCCCTTTCCTTTCCCAGACTGTGGGAGCAGAGACGGTTAGAAGTGCTAATGCATGCGGCAAAGCAAAGAGCGCAATGCCCAGATTCCCCCTCTGCTGGGGGTCAGGTCTGGGGGTTGAAGTCCATCTGTCAGGTGACTGCAAACCTGGCCACAGTGTGGATTTCACAGGCTCTGGGGCATTAGCCCTATTCACTATAAAGAAAGCTCTTCCAATCCCCGGGGGTCGGACGCAGCCCTCGCCAGGGTCAATGGCGATTCCAGATCTTCCCAGACACATGCTCACAGTCAACCCTTACTGCCTCTGAGACGTGTTGGTAAAAGGGAAAAGAAAGCTGATAGAAATGGCTGGCCGATCCACGTACGTACCCGCGGGCTCTGCGCGCTGCCGTTCCCCCTCCCTCCAGCAGGGGAAATGGCAGTGCAGGGAACCGCTTGCCTGGAGGATCTTCACCGCTGCTCCCATTGGCTGGAATCACGACCAATGGGAGCAGGGGGGGGACACTGCCTAGGAGTGGA